TTAATAGTCGAATTAGGTGTGCGATACCGCCAGGGATCGTGGACCAGGGCCATTGTGGAGAATTTTACAAAATAGGACTCCCCAAATAAGATTTACTCCTCTGGTACGACCCCTCCACTTCCCATTCCCCAGTCTACCTAACATCGCCCTAAACCTCCTCAACCTTCCTTTTTTCTGGACAAACTCTTCAATTTTTGCCACAAGTTGCTGAGTTGCGGACAAAAGTCAGACCCCAGGTGGGACTCCAACCCGTATCTCCCACAAACCGAGCGAGCGCGCTATCCATTTCTTCACTTTTTCCAACTGGTGATTGCCAACGTACGACGCGCCCTATCATGAACTCCCACGGGCGCTCAACCCAGCTGGGAAAAAGTTCAGTTCTAGGGTGCAATCCTTTTGCCGATAAATTTCTGAGAAGCTTCCAAGTATAAGTCCATGGAAAAATCAATGAACGTCTAAATTGCATCTTCTCATAGGCGGACAGTTCTACCAAGTTCTAAAGAGCCTGCAACATTTAGGCTTGGTATCCACCATGGGAAGGATGGGATCAGGTCTGGTGTAAGACGAAGAGGTGACGTCGTTCCAGGTCCCTTCAGGATCATGGGAAACAGGAGTTACCTTAGCGACTACCCTCAGGTGCACTATAACACCTCGTCGTGGCAAATCGGACCACGTCTAAAACTCGAATCCGTATGCCCGCAGCCTTTGGGACACTAGGGAACTAGTCACTTTTTCAACTTCCACACCCTCACTTTTAACCCAGTGGCGCGACATGGCACGACGACTGTTGCGAGCAGGAACTGACTGAGAGCCCTTTACGGGAAGTACCTTACCTTGAGGGACTCGAAGACGCCTTAAGGGCATTCCCGCGCTCGACCAATATGCAGGATTCTACCGGACTACTCGAGCGAGGAAGGTAGTACGAATTGGTTTAGCGCGAGATTTGCTTCTGAGCAAGCTCTCAGCCTTTCAGATCTCAGACTTCATGCATACCTCTCCTTCGGGATCTATTCTGTTCTAAGAACTCCGGGCTAACCTCAAGGGTCCCAGTAGGAGATTCCAACTAAGCGGTCCAGCAGGCACCAATGGCGGAAGAGAGCTGGTTCATGGAAAGACAATGATCAAATCCGTGCCACGAAATGAATGCTTGGCTCATAAAGGCAACAAGGAGACGAAAAACTCCCGAACCCGAAATTCACCAAAAATCGATGAGATGATCATTGATTTTTGCGAATACTGGCGACCTGTTGGTCAATAAAATGCCTTTAAATCACTTACAAATATAGACTCGTGGATCAGTGGAGGCGTTCTCGATATAAACCCGACTGGGTAGTACAATCGGCCGGAACTCATAGTCACTATTGTGTGAATCAGATCGTCGTGGGAATCGTGGTGGTAACTGAGCTGACGAAGGCATCGTGCTATGCCACGAAGCAATCGGGTCAGACGTAGGTCCCGCGACCAGAGGCGGGCCGGAGCAAGCGCGGGGGAGGAAGCTGGTGGAGCAGTCACAGATCGTGTGAAAGAATGTTGGGTCGAAACTCACCGGAGCGCACTTGGTTTGCTGCAGTGTTTACTCGATCGCAGTATGCCGGCTCCTCGGAGTTATCGGCCTCGTTCTGTGCCGTCATCAACACACGATTACCGAGGCGAGCAATCTAAAAAATCTTCTATGAATGATTATTTAATTATATTAGAACATTATTTACGAGTCTTTGATCAGATTTGGTGGACAAGATCATTTATGTAGGAGAGTTGAAGCAACAAAACTAAGGTAAGAAGATAAAAGTGTTTCAAAACAACTGCATGGAGACCTCAGCCCCAATGAGAGGTGACATGCCCCGCCCACTGTGGGGAAACTCCGCCCTGCGAGCTACCT